CGAAGTTTCTCAAGAACCATTCGAGCCGCAGAATTCGTTTTGGCATCGTTGGATAGAGAATTGAAAAGTCGATTCAGTCGTAACAACGTGAGTGAGGAAATTCGAGTAGATTTGACCTAGAAAGGGAAATTTGAATATCAGACACTTAGGTGCAAGATTATGCCAAAATTTCATGTTTTCCGTCCCCTTTTTGCTCATATCTCGGAGGCAAAATGAACAAGAACGCTCATTTGGAATGGAATGGGGGGTCATGACCCCCATGACCCCCCCACCCCTGGATCCGCCATCGGTGTTACTCCACCGGTTTTCCCTCTTGCATAAGCAGCTGAATTAAAACGAAAATTAAACATTTTTCCTTTGAAGAAATTGAATTACCAGTATGCATGAAATATTGCAGAGAAAACAGGAAACACTAATTAGATAGAATTCCTCGCTTGATTATGTCGCGACTCGAGACGTGAAACCTGAACCAGGAAAGTGTCTCTGTTAATTCCCAGAGATAGGTAGATGTTCCACAAAGACTTCCGATAATAACTGACGCCGGGGTTCAGCCTTTACAGAAGTTTGGTTTCTATTTTAACCCGAAAACCGAATTAGAAGCCCTTGTTAACGGTCTAATACGCTCGGAAAAGGCACGTAAAAAATAGATGTCAACAGCAGCAATGGGGGGACCTTTCTTTCAGCCTGTCTGAGCTCCAGATTTATGGTCTGGTGCATCATATTTGAGAATAATTTCATTTGATCGTTTCAAGGAAAGTTCATTTATTAAAGCGGTTTGTACGCAAATGTTATGGAGAAAGTAAAAAAGATACACTTTGGAAAATGAAGGAAATGCAATTAATGAAAACGAAAATATTTTTTACGTTTGTATTGTTTTAATGGATCATTTATCTCAAAAGTTTTTGGTGCGATTTGGAAACGCCTGCATTCCAAAAACACACCAAAAAAACTGACGCTAGAAGGTGTTTTTCAACAAAATGTTTTATGTAAAATTTGAATTGCCATCCTATAGAAAGCCACTTTCTGCTCTTATTTCTATTCGGGCCGCTAGGTCTCCATGTAGGAAAAGAGAAGGGTCCTTTTATTACGATAAATAGCAGTTAAAGCTGCGATATTTCAAAGGAAATGGCAGGTCCCTTAAGACACGTGAATCACTCCTTAGCCACGTGCGTTTCGGCCCGACGTGTCTGGCGGTTTTGCTTGCTTTCAAAGCCCAAAAATAGGACGGATGTTGAATTGTTTGCTCTTTTTGCTGTTTTCGATATTGCCAATAAATATGGACATCCATCTAGTCATAAAGGAGAAGTCAAATTTCTCCCCAGTTTCAATAGAAAAATTGGAGAAGAGAAATTAGCCGCATTGTTTCCCAAAAATTTCTACGTTAAGCTTACGTATAAAATTCCAGATTTCTTAACAAATGCTGGCAAAATTCACCATCAAAACACCGCGGAAGCTAAAGAGAACTTTTAAAGACGACAAGAAAACAGAAAAAATCTGCATATGAATCTCAGCGAGAAAAGTTATGAAAACTAAAAATAAAAGGTATATTTTTAAGATCGACTCACCGACTTCAATGTGCACCAATAACGCACTGTCGACCGAATATTCTAATTAGTTTGACAAAAATCTCAATGTACGTACGAAATATCACAACCTGCGTGATGCTAAATTAAATAAAGAAATTATGCAAACACTGATAAGATAAAAGAGCGCGTAGGAAACAAATGGGACAAAGCCATGGTAAACAGGTAAATCTCATATTTATACGGGGTAATTCAATTTTTAATCGAGGAAATAGACGGAAAGAAAAAACACACACAAAAGTAAATATTTAGTAAGTATATTTGAGACTGAAAGCACCATGTTTTCTCTCAAAGCGGTGCTTTGCTGGACCTGAATAGGCATATTGGATTAATTTTGCAAATAACTCAAAAAAAGTGGCAGATGCGAACCAAACACTAGAGATAAGGAAGTTCCTAAATTGAACAAGTAATTAAAAAAAAATGCATTTAAAGTTCAGGGGCGTACCACAGAAAGGTTCCAGCTGGCTAATAGTGACTGGCCCCCTTAAAACAAAACTTTCTGTATATTCGTGCAACCGTTTGACCGAATGAACTATTTGGCCTCAAGAGCGTAACCCACCTTCCAAAATTCAGGTAAATGTCGCAAAAATCGCGGGAGCTGGAACGAAAAAACTGGAAAAATGCTTAAATTTCAGCACAAGTTTTCTACTAATTTTGGTGAGTTTTATCACCTCAGTGATTTACGTCCGAAAACTCCTAAAAGATCATTTATCATTTTCCATAAATTTACTATCACCACCCTTAATCTAACAACACCTTCACTTCCATGAACATTTTTTATAGTTATTCACCTGGAGGAAGTGGATGCAACGTAACCGAAGTACTGAGTCTGTCGCCTCCCATGCTAACCAAATGAGGAGTATCAGTTTGCAATTTGAGCGCTCTTCCACCTCCATCTCCCACGTCTGTATTGCCTCCTGAAGGCTGCCCACCAGCCAACGTTACTCCAGACATTCTGCAAGCAAAACACCAGGATTTATCTTCGGGCCATAATCGTCCATCATCTGATGCGGAAGAGGCAGTTTGCACTCGTTTTAAAACCACTCGGGGGATAAAAACGACAATGTACCATTAATATTCGATGTCTAGAAATGCGACTGCATGCTTTCAGGCGATAGATAAATAATTACGTAATAACTAAGTGGATTATTTAGCTGCAAATGGCAAGTGCAACATAAATCAACTCGATGCACTTATGGTAATGCCAAACGAGTTCCTCTTGGGCAACAAGGAAAAAGCTGTGCCTTACCTATAGGGGATTTTTAGATGAAACATATTAAACCAACCACTGCCAATCAAAAAAAAACTAGCGAACAAATGAGATTTTGGGAAAACGTTCCATATGGGCACTGTTGGCACGCTTTCACCACCAACAATGACCACCATCAACTAAAGCCCATCGGATATCGGGTTTGGGGTACAGTTAAATGGGTAACCGTAAAAAGCACGCCGAAATACTCTTAATGAAGACCATTAATTTAATTGCTCAACTGGCAGGTGAATTCGTTTATACAAACCATCGTAAAAAGCTAATTAAAATGCAACAGCAGTGACGTAAGTGAGGTATTATTGTTATGGATAAAGAAGTTAATGTGCTGACATATTGGAACGCGAACTATAAAACATTATAGTTCGCAGGAATCGATTTCGAAATGTTCAACATGTTTGCGCTATTGGGATTTTTGCTCAATTTTTCTGGGCGCACTCAAAGCCTATTGAGTGCATTCATATTTTGCGTATTTTATAACTTAAACTTTGTCCAATAATCTAGGACTAGTTTCACATCCCTAAGAGTCCCTTCTAAGTTCCAAATGGTTGGTTTCCTTGTAGATCGTTTGGAACAGTTTAAAACATTGTTAAACTACAACAGTCGAAAGATACGCTAGATGCTGGATATACCGAGGCATATTTTACTGAACAATGTGCATTTATTTGTCAAACACTAAACGCGGCCATAAAAATGAAAATAAACAGAATTTGTCGGGAAATTAACAAGGTTAATTATCATAACAGCGTTGGGTTCAAACTGGATGACGCCATAGTTGGGCTGAGCTCATGATTTAAATTGAAGCCAAAACATCCAGTTACAAATTCCGTATCATCATGCAAACTAAACTATGCTAATGAAGCTTTTAAGAATGAATTAAACATTACGTTACCGGATAAATCTATTTCAGCAGTTTGCATAAAATTCGCATTTAGAGTGTCAAGTTCTTAAGTGTAAAAACCAGTTAATTTGCTAGAAATGATGTTAAAAACGCAATTAAAGCGCAATGGGTTTTGCGATGCATTTGAAATATTTTCCAGCTGATCAGGGTTTAAGTTTAAATTTTATTTAAAAAATCATACGATCACAAAGGTGATTTTCTTCTGCCCAGTGAAGCGTGATTCATCTGTTTGGACCTGTTAAAACACCTGCTTCCTTGCTTCAAAAAATGCGTTCTATCGTAAGCAATCAGATTAAACACGAAACAAAAGCTATTAATTTTTTTGGGGTTTTTTCGGAATTTTAATATAATACATGGCCGCGTTGAATGACGCATTTGGATATTCCGTAATCTTTTTTGTACATAAAAATTAATTTGCTGTAAACATAAAATGGAAATTTGGGTGAAAAAATACAGTTCAGTTTCTGACAAAAGTACTTTATCTTCCGTTTAGGCCTGGGTAACACTGTGTTGAGTTGCGCTAATGAGTTGTTGCCGCTCTGAGTTAACGAGTTATAACTCATCGGTTAATGAGTGATAATTCATTTGTTAAAGCTTTACGAGACCTGAGACTGGAATTTTCACATCTAAAAAAAAGGTCATCAACATTTTTTCTGAGTAACGTTTTACTACTTTGTTCAAACAACTAAAAAAAGTCATCTAGATTTTCCCTGCGACAGAACTGAGTCCAAATAAAGTCGTCGAATTTTCTTGTAAAATCGATCTCTTAATTGTTTTGCATAAAAGATTCAGTTTGCCAGTATTTTACAGTAAAACTTACTTACAACGCGGTTTATCTGTTTAGAGACAGTGTTGTTTAGAAATATTGACGTAAAAGTGACGAAACCCCAGTTTCCAATAGTTTTCCAAATAAATGATTATAAACTTTCGCTTTTTCAGTTCGGGGAAATATTTTTGGAAAAACACCCAGAAATAATTATTACGGTTTTCTCCATAATTCAAAACTGTAAAAAGTTTTCCAAAAATTTTTGCATAGCGGTTAAGGAGGCGAGTATTACAATAAAAATTATCTTATAATTTTCCACAGAAAATACCTGATGATTGTCAGAATTTGAAATAAAAATAAAAAATAATACGATTTCTGCGTAGAAAGAATTGCTTAATAGAAACTTTGTTAGAACTGGAACGACCTAAAAATTTAAAGGAACTTTAGAAATCTTCAGAGCGATGGCGAATTTTCCCAATAATTTTTTGTGAACTTTTGCTCTGGTCGTTTTTTCAAGATAGTCCTAATTACTTTCGGTAAAAAACTGAATAAAATTATTTGGTTTTTGAGCCAAATTCGAAGTTTTCGATTAAAAACTTTCAGTTTTGTGACCGGTTTTGGAGAAAACCATAATGGTTTTTGGAACAAAACGGGAGGAATTTATTTTCGCTTTTGCCCCTAATTCGACACATAAAATTTTTACAAAGCTATAAATTTATCTTGTAATTTTTCGCGTAAAAGTCTACCAGATCGTCAGTATTTTAAAGTGAAACTCTACAAAATAGAGCGTTTTTGAGTAGGAAGAAACGCAAAAAAAATTCAGTCAAAACTAAAAAACCACATGTTTTAACAAATTCTACAGTCTTCAGAGTAATGGAGGTGACGAGATTTGCAAATAATCTGTTATAAACTTTCGCTTATTTTGTCCGTTTTTTGATAGAAAATTATTTGATTGTTTGAAATTCGAAGCTGGAAAGGGATTTCAAAACTTTTTGCAAAGCGACGAAAGATTCAAAATGTATTTCATAATTTTTCGCGAAAAATACCTTGAGATTGTCAGCATTTTTAAGTGAAACTTTAGAAAATTGACCATTTAGAAGAAAGAGTAACTTGGCTAAAACTGGAAAATTCTAAAATTTGAAGACATTTTAAAATATTATTAATAAATTGCCTTTAAGTTACCCAGGCCTACTTCCGTTAGAGCTATTTTTCCACAACTACCTTCTATCCAACAGCACAAACTCTGCGGTACTTTTGATACAAAGCGAAGTTCAAGGCAAAAAAATCAATCAGGCATATTCAAGCCATCTCTGTGTAACTCTTTAAAAAATTATAAAAATATGACATCGATTGAGGTTTGATTGCGTTGGTGTAAAAATAATTCTAGCCACTGACTGAATAGTCAAAAACAAGTCATAATATTGAACAGAATGCAACCAAAACAATAAATAAAGACTTGAGACACTGAAAGAATCATTGAGTGTGACTAGAAACGAATTAATTAACACACGAAGTAAGCAGATTTTATTGCCAGCTAATCACAGTCAACATTAAACTGATTAGCATTGCAAATTACCTGTCCAGGGAATCAGTAAGTTGTTATGCAAGAAAGACTGTCCAATTTAGTGTTGAGTGATAATTATTTTAAACGCGTTCGACGTTGGCCTATTGACGTCCAAACAGCCTTGTGGAATGCTCAAGTTCAAAGTTTTCCTCGTCGACTAATTGGCTTCAATGCTTAATTGCAGGGACCATTCAACAACAATTGATAGAGAACTTGTTTTATTCGGTTAAACATTTAATTTTCCTGTCTGTTTATCGTGTATGAGCCAAGTCACCATACTTATTCATACCGGCTACATCTGCTTTAAATGACTGCTGTGCAGGAAAGTCAACACTATTGTGTATATTATTGGATTAGCACCTTTTACTCAACTTGCAGACAAGTTAAGCATTTAAACTCACATGCCACTGCTAGAGGTTAAACTTTGCGGCTTTGGTTTTCGTAATGCCTAAAGCGGATCCAGAGTATAAGTTTTCAAAATCAAAATTTATTTCTTTTCTGGTCAACCCAAGGAGTAGTTAACATTTAAAAGCCTTTTTCAATCATCACCAGTAGGTATTCTTTCGCACAACGTCTGAATTATTTTTTTATAACTTATAACCATTCAATGTATTTTTTTTAATTTAAGGGCGTTCAATTCATTTGTCTTTTCGAATAAATAGTCGCAGTTCCTTGACCGTACAATGTGTAGAATGAAGAAAGGTGATGACCTTTCGCCATGTCAGGGAAGATGCACATTTTCTGCACGCTTGATCGAATGCTATGCACCGCTGCGACTGAACTTCGAAAGGAATGCGGCTTTAGGATCAACTTGTGAACATGTTTAGACACTTCATTCTAGCAGCAGATAAAATTTTCTTTTTTATACCAAAATTGCCTTTACCTCCCCCGTGATGATTTACTTCCAGAACATGTTGGGGTTTTGGATTGTCTATCCAGTGGTAGGAAAACGGGCTGTTGGCCGCTCAAATGATTTTTGAGATATATCGAAAAAAATCAGGTTTAGCTCGATTTTTCAATGTAAAATACAACAGCGCGAAATTGCTAGTTTTCTCGAAACTTTGGCCCGTTTGTGAAACCTGCCAACATTTTCCAAGCGATGCTTGACTTCATAACTGTGCCATTTAAAGCTCTATCCAGTAGTGCAGAAGTGAGCGCTAGCTCAAGCTGCTCTGGAGATACAAGCAAAAAAGTGGCCTAATGCATGAAATTTTCGCCTTATCTTGTACTCAGATTGAAATTTTGCTGTTGGTGAGAAAACTGTCACTATTTCCTCACTCAAGATCCTCTGAGTTGAATGGTTCTTGAGATATGTCGAAAAAGGGGGCGTCATTTTTGGGTTGATTTTCCTCCGTAAAAATTTCGTAAATGTGCCATTGAGTGCTCTATTCAGTGACGTAGAAAAGATAATTCCAGCTCAAACTGGTCCTTCTCACTCAAGTTCCTCTGAGTGACTGAGGCTATTAATTCTTTATTCGGTGATAGGA